AGCAAAGTACCCCCACACCATCACACCTCCTCCTCCATGCTTTACGGTGGGAACTACACATGCGGAGATCATCCATTCACCCACACAGCGTCTCACAAAGACAGCGGTTTGAACAAAAAATAGCCCATTTGGACTCCAGACCAAAGGACAAATTTCCACCGGTCTATTGTCCATTGCTCGTGTTTCTTGAACCAAGCAGGTCTCTTCTTCTTATTGGTGTCCTTTAGTAGTGGTTTCTTTGCAGCAATTCGACCATGAAGGCCTGATTCACACAGTCCCCTCTGAACAGTTGATGTTGAGATGTGTCTGTTACTTGAACTCTGTGAAGCATTTATTTGGGCTGCAATTTCTGAGGCTGGTAACTCTAATGAACTTGTCCTCTGCAGCAGAGATAACTCTGGGTCTTCCATCCCTGTGGTGGTCCTCATGAGAGCCAGTTTCATCATAGCGTTTGATGTTTTTTGCGACTGCACTTGAAGAAACTTTCAAAGTTCTTGAAATGTTCCGTATTGACTGACCTTCATGTCTTAACGTAATGATGACTGTCGTTTCTCTTTGCTTATTTGAGCTGTTCATACCATAATATGGACTTGGTAATTTACCAAATAGGGCTATCTTCTGTATACCCCCCCCCCCCCCCCTACCTTGTCACAACACAACTGATTGGCTCAAACTCATTAAGACGGAAATTAATTCCACAAATTAACTTTTAAGAAGGCACAACTGTTAATTGAAATGCATTCCAGGTGACTACCTCATGAAGCTGGTTGCTAGAATGCCAAGAGTGTGCAAAGCTGTCATCAAGGCAAAGGGTGGCTATTTGAAGAATCTCAAATATAAAATATATTTTGATTTGTTTAACACTTTTTTTGGTAACTACAGTGGGGAAAAAAAGTATTTAGTCAGCCACCAATTGTGCAAGTTCTCCCACTTAAAAAGATGAGAGAGGCCTGTAATTTTCATCATAGGTACACGTCAACTATGACAGACAAATTGAGGAAAAAAAATCCAGAAAATCCCATTGTAGGATTTTTAATGAATTTATTTGCAAATTATGGTGGAAAATAAGTATTTGGTCACCTACAAACAAGCAAGATTTCTGGCTCTCACAGACCTGTAACTTCTTCTTTAAGAGGCTCCTCTGTCCTCCACTCGTTACCTGTATTAATGGCACCTGTTTGAACTTGTTATCAGTATAAAAGACACCTGTCCACAACCTCAAACAGTCACACTCCAAACTCCACTATGGCCAAGACCAAAGAGCTGTCAAAGGACACCAGAAACAAAATTGTAGACTTGCACCAGGCTGGGAAGACTGAATCTGCAATAGGTAAGCAGCTTGGTTTGAAGAAATCAACTGTGGGAGCAATTATTAGGAAATGGAAGACATACAAGACCACTGATAATCTCCCTCAATCTGGGGCTCCACGCAAGATCTCACCCCGTGGGGTCAAAATGATCACAAGAACGGTGAGCAAAAATCCCAGAACCACACGGGGGGACCTAGTGAATGACCTGCAGAGAGCTGGGACCAAAGTAACAAAGCCTACCATCAGTAACACACTACGCCGCCAGGGACTCAAATCCTGCAGTGCGAGACGTGTCCCCCTGCTTAAGCCAGTACATGTCCAGGCCCGTCTGAAGTGCATTTGGATGATCCAGAAGAGGATTGGGAGAATGTCATATGGTCAGATGAAACCAAAATATAACTTTTTGGTAAAAACTCAACTCGTCGTGTCTGGAGGACAAAGAATGCTGAGTTGCATCCAAAGAACACCATACCTACTGTGAAGCATGGGGGTGGAAACATCATGCTTTGGGGCTGTTTTTCTGCAAAGGGACCAGGACGACTGATCCGTGTAAAGGAAAGAATGAATGGGGCCATGTATCGTGAGATTTTGAGTGAAAACCTCCTTCCATCAGCAAGGGCATTGAAGATGAAACGTGGCTGGGTCTTTCAGCATGACAATGATCCCAAACACACCGCCCGGGCAACGAAGGAGTGGCTTCGTAAGAAGCATTTCAAGGTCCTGGAGTGGCCTAGCCAGTCTCCAGATCTCAACCCCATAGAAAATCTTTGGAGGGAGTTGAAAGTCTGTGTTGCCCAGCGACAGCCCCAAAACATCACTGCTCTAGAGGAGATCTGCATGGAGGAATGGGCCAAAATACAAGCAACAGTGTGTGAAAACCTTGTGAAGACTTACAGAAAACGTTTGACCTGTGTCATTGCCAACAAAGGGTATATAACAAAGTATTGAGAAACTTTTGTTATTGACCAAATACTTATTTTCCACCATCATTTGCCAATAAATTCATTAAAAATCCTACAATGTGATTTTCTGGATTTTTTTCTTCTCATTTTGTCTGTCATAGTTGACGTGTACCTATGATGAAAATTACAGGCCTCTCTCATCTTTTTAAGTGGGAGAACTTGCACAATTGGTGGCTGACTAAATACTTTTTTTCCCCACTGTACATGATTCCGTATGTGTTATTTCATAGTGTTGATGTCTTCACTATTATTCTACAATGTAGAAAATAGTAAAAATAAAGAAATACCCTTGAATGAGTAGGCATGTCCAAACATTTGACTGATAGTGTAGATGCCTTGCTCTGTAAAACTAGTTTATCACAGTGGGTCCCTTCCTCTCCGGTAAAACCTATTTTGTCTGAGGGAATAAACGTTATTATAATAAAGAATGGAAGACAAAAAAATTCCAGAACTTGATTAAACTTGATTAAAACTTGTCATTATTGTTTTAAGTACAGTGTACCAACTTCTGAGGGAATAAACTCTCTCATGTTTATTTTAATAAACAGAGTTAACTTTGTTATCATATGATTCAAGTTTTAAGGACAGTGTAAAAAGTATTGTAAATAATCATGTGTCCCTGGGTGGGATTGAACCATGTCACATTTTTTTTTTAAAGGTAAAATAAGGTCACCAAAATCACCAAACTACACAACTGGCCCTTTGCCGTGCATGTGTTGGTTTCTATGCTCAGGAAATATGCTGGGTAGATGGGTGGTTATAATGTATCTGAATGATTAGAATGTATTTGAGACGTGAATGTGCCTCTTATAGATCTGCACCTGCAGTATTTCCAGCGCAAGATACTACTTTTTGCACGAGATACTGTTCATGATTCTGATCACATATTCTGATACATTTTTATAAAGGTAAACATTATTTTAAAATGCCATAATACATCAATTAACCTCATTATACTCAAATGATAAGTGTATACCACTATTCTTCATTGACATAGCTGGATTAATAAGTGGTTAACCGGTATATCCATATGGGGAATTAGTTCAAATTGTAGCGCGCTTGCTTAGCATGCGAGAGGTAGCGGGATCGATGCCCGCATTCTCCAGGGTTATTTTTTCCAACTGTTTCAGGGCGACCCCCACATTTTTAGCTAAAAAGGCTTGCCTGTTTTGCATGTTATTTTGGCATTAATGCGTGTCACATATCAGTTTGCAAACAATAAAAAAAATAATAATAATAATCACTGAGTTAATAAAGCCGCATACAAACATGTTTTTTTTTTTTTTTGCTTTCTTGGGTAAGGCAGCTCCAAAATGCTGCCTTACCCAAGAATGTCTTGTATGCTGCTGCATAAATGATGTAATATGCCATGGAGATATGTATACTGTAGCTAAGAAAGTAATACTAAGTGTATGTTGTGTAGTAAGCTGTTAGTAGCTCATGTGTCTCACCCTAATTATTTGGTATATTTCCCCCTCATAACGTAGCCTACTGTTCTGACTTGGTGGTGCACATGTAGCCTATAACCTGTTTTAGAGAAATGTAATCATCCAATATTGTAAGAGCTTTCATTGTCTGCTTATATGCCCCCTTTATTTATAATACAGTTCTGACTTGGTGTACAGGGAGAACACTGTAAGAACGGCCCATGTTCTGAATTCTGTTGCTGTACATTTCAAAAGTGCTAAACAAATAGTTATATTGACTACGTCCGACAAGGTTGTTTTTAATGAGCTCAGATTCTGTGCGGTATTAAAAAAGATTCTGCTAAAGTCTACAGTCATAAAATGAACAAAGAATTGCATGAACTCTGTTTAGAAAAGCCCCCCCCCCCCCCCCCATGTGTGCAACTTCTGTAAGTGCCTCTACTCTACTGCTCTATGCCACTACGCAAATGCGATGATATGCATGCAATGCTTTATTATAAAACTGTTTTTTTATTTTTTATTCCGGTACCTCAGAGCCTCCCAGGTCAGCCCCCTCTCGTGCTCACTTTTTGTTTCGGCACCTCCCGATTTACAACTTAAGCACTGACCCTAACCTTAACCCCTAACCTTAACCCTTAGCCTAGCTAACGTTAGCCACTTAGCTAATGTTAGTGTTAGCCACCTAGCTAACGTTAGCAACAACAAATTGGAATTTGTAACATATTGTACGTATTGCAATTCGTAACATACTGTATCATATGAATTGTAATTCGTAACATATCATATGAAATGGATGATGGACATCCACAAATTAATACATACCATACGAAACGTAACATATACTAATTGGATTGTCCCGGATTTACGTTTACTATGTTGCGTACCCCAAACACTTTTGTTATACATTGATATTAGCATATAGGCTAACAGTTTGATGACACACGTGTACAGCTTTACATTAAATAGGGTCAGCTTGTAGACTATAGGCCTACTGCGAGGAATCATCAGCTGCTCAAGCCCTAACTGGTATCAGTTTCATATATGGGCAAGTAAACATGGCAACCTTTGACGTGACACTTTCTAAAAACAGCCCTGACACCCGCTCGAGCTGCCAGATTGGGGGCCACGTGATACTCTGTATGAGAAACAGCTTGAACCAGTGGTCCTTCTTTTCAACCTCACTCCGAAATAAGCGGCTTGGGATGTTATAATGCCGAATTAACCGTTGCCTATTGTTCATTTGACACTGTTGATACAATTTTAACGTCTTAACGGAGTGGGTGTATCAGAAGAGAAATGTCATGGATAACTTGGAGAAGCAGCTGATTTGTCCCATCTGCCTGGAAACATTTACCAAACCAGTGGTCATCTTACCGTGTCAACACAACCTCTGTAGAAAGTGTGCCAATGATATCTTTCAGGTAAAGTAGGCCTGCAATTACATTGGAGTATTGGAAAGTATTTTAGGACAGACTAGTATGTGATAGACCTATAGATTAAACTGTGTCTACGCTATTATCCATAGACTATTTCTGTTTGTCTATATCTATAACAACTAGTTTGACTGTATATTGGGGGATATTGTTTTTGCTTGTTTCTTGTCTAGGCACAGGCTACAGGTGTAGGATCTTAATTGTATCACCCTTTTGTTGCAGGGGATTTCCTGCACAGCAAGAAATGCAAACTTGTAGTGTATTCAATGTTTAAAAGGCTTTTAAAGATTGTAATTTCCACTTTACATTTTCAGACTTGATTTGCCCTTACCAAAAATGTATCAACCCCTACAACAATGTCCAATAATTATAATCCACACAATAATTCAAATTTCCTGTTGCTGCAGGGTCAAATTAAGATCCCACATCTGTATGTACTGTAGCCTACACCAGATCCTCTGTATTGTTCTCATTTTATGCTTTGTATTATCTTGTTGCCACGAGCCATTGCAGTGTTCAATCTCAGCTTTGTACATCCATGTAATTTTGTGTAGCCTCAAATGTGACTACAGTTTTCACATGAAATAGTAGGCATAAGCAATAATAGGTGTTACATTTGGTCTACATTTTAATATGTTCCATCCTGTCTAGGCCTCCAACCCATATCTCCCAACCAGAGGGGGGTCCGTGACCTCTGGTGGCCGTTTCCGGTGCCCGTCCTGCAGGCACGAGGTGGTCCTGGACCGCCATGGGGTCTATGGGCTCCAGAGGAACCTGCTGGTGGAGAACATCATTGACATGTTCAAACAGGAGTCCACCAGGTGAGAGAGTCGTACACTATAGGAGTCCAAAGGAAAAATAGTACTTCCGGTACATGGACTTCGCTTTCCAACCCAGGTGCATGAACAGATGAGCAAACTGGGGGGAAACTATGTGCTCCATGTACTTGCTAGCTTGTTACAGGGTTCAGTACAGTTCTTATTACAGTAATCATTAAAAAAAGTAATTATTAAAGAAAGTAACCACCACCACCACCATCATCACTACCATAAGTGGCCCAATTTGCAGGATCCTACTATACCACAGACTGAAAGCACAGACATCCAGTTACTCCATTTTGTGAGTTTTGGCCTAAATTCATTTCTATGTGTAATTTCCTTAGCTTTCCATATTCACTGTTCCATTACCAGGGTTTAAACTACTTCCAATATGTCACTGAATTTCTTACAAGAAGACGGAACAGTGAATTCTAAAAGTAGGTCAGTTAGGGCATTGAACAGTGAGATACTCATAATGATAGCAATGTGACATTTTCTCTTCTGATAGATATATAAAAAACTCATACACCTACATGCAAAACGTGTTAAAACCTTGCTGTTGAAATTTGATATTTTTCCTGAGTCCTCACCGCATGACCTGACCACGACAAAGCTGGGCCTTAAACTTCACTAGTCATGTCATGTTCTCAGGAAAAGATCCTGGTGCCACTCATACTGAATGATTTCTTCAATACTTACTACTTTTTTCACCTTGTGTACTAGACTTCCAGACTGCCTTATAAAGACACATGGTGGCTGGTGAACGTGACTAGTAGTAGTTTCGAAACTAGAGTTGATAAACAAATAATGATGATGTTCTTTAACCGGGCGGCAGGTAGCCTAGCTGTTAAGAGCGGGGGTTTGAATCCCTGAGCCGACTAGGTGAAAAATCTGCCAATGTGCCCTCGAGCAAGGCACTTCACCCTAATTGCTCTGGAGTGTCTACTAAATGACTAAAATGTAGATGTTCTCCCTCCAGGAGCCACAGCGATGACAACAGCTGGAGCTAAATACAGTCAAGGAAGTACGTAGGTCACAAACATTGCATTTACATGAAGGATTACTGTTTATATTTAACTCCTGTTAAAATAGGTGTCAGGGTTTTCTAGTGAGAGTGTCATCTTATCTTTTATTACATTTACATTTACGTCATTTAGCAGACACTCTTATCCAGAGTTACAAATTGGTGCATTCAACTTATGATAGCCAGTGGGACAACCACTTTTTTTTTTTTTTTTTTTTTTTTTTTATGGGGGTGGGGGAAGAAGGATTACTTTATACTATTCCAGGTATTCCTTAAAGAGGTGGGGTTTCAAGTGTCTCCGGAAGGTGGTCAGTGACTCCGCTGTCCTGGCGTCGTGCGGGAGCTTGTTCCACCATTGGGGTGCCAGAGCAGCGAATAGCTTTGACTGGGCTGAGCGGGAACTGTGCTTCCGTAGAGGTAGGGGAGCTAGCAGGCCAGAGGTGGATGAACGCAATGCCCTCGTTTGGGTGTAGGGTCTGATCAGAGCCTGAAGGTAAGGAGGTGCCGTTCCCCTCACAGCTCCATAGGCAAGCACCATGGTCTTGTAGTAGATGCGAGCCTCAACTGGAAGCCAGTGGAGTGTGCGGAGGAGCGGGGTGACATGAGAGAACTTGGGAAGGTTGAACTGCTTTGTGGTGGGTGTTTGGTGCTATAAGAATGCATGAGATGAACGTGTTGCATTTAAGCAGGGTTGGGTAGGTTACTTTCTAAATGTAATCTGTTAGTTACTAGTTAACCTGTCCAAAATGTGTATTAGTAACGGAACTTTTGGATTACCCAAATTGAGTAATGTCATCTCATTACTTTCACTTAGAAGAAGATAAAAAGGATCCATCAAACACATTTGGTGTCATCATAGTGGTCTCTGATTGGTGGTCATCATTTGGTGTCATCATAGTGGTCTCTGATTGGTGGTCATCATTTGGTGTCATCATAGTGGTCTCTGATTGGTGGTCATCATTTGGTGTGTCATCATAGTGGTCTCTGATTGGTGGTCATCATTTGGTGTCATCATAGTGGTCTCTGATTGGTGGTCATCATTTGGTGTGTCATCATAGTGGTCTCTGATTGGTGGTCATCATTTGGTGTCATCATAGTGGTCTCTGATTGGTGGTCATCATTTGGTGTGTCATCATAGTGGTCTCTGATTGGTGGTCATCATTTGGTGTCATCATAGTGGACTCTGATTGGTGGTCATCATTTGGTGTCATCATAGTGGTCTCTGATTGGTGGTCATCATTTGGTGTCATCAGAGTGGTCTCTGATTGGTGGTCATCATTTGGAGTCATCATAGTGGTCTCTGATTGGTGGTCATCATTTGGTGTGTCATCATAGTGGTCTCTGATTGGTGGTCATCATTTGGTGTCATCATAGTGGTCTCTGATTGGTGGTCATCATTTGGTGTCATCATACTGGTCTCTGATTGGTGGTCATCATTTGGTGTCATCATAGTGGTCTCTGATTGGTGGTCATCATTTGGTGTCATCATACTGGTCTCTGACTTGTGGTCAGACTCGCTCAGGTGGAACAAACTTAAACTTGCGCCTTAAACCGAATGGTGTCATAATGCTTTTTTTCCTCAAACATCCTTTCTGAATTTAAATCCAATAAGTAATCATCTAGTTTTTCAAAAGTATCTGTTATCGGATTACAATATTTTTGCTGGTAACGTAACTGATTACAGTTACAGTTTTTTGTAATCAGATTACATGTAACTGATTAAATGCTTTTAAGAATAGGAGCCCCGAGGCCCCTAGCTCTCTACTGTCCTGTATCCGACATCACGCTTAACGCTTCAGACTTTATTTATGAGACACAACTCTCTTCCGCTTGACACAGAGAGAGGGATGGAATGGAGGAGAGGGGTGCTCTGTGTATTTGAGGACACTCACAGAGAGAAAGAGAAAGAAGGAAAGCTTCCTGTGTATTTTTGAGTGCTTGCTAGTTTGAAAGAGAGGGCCTGCGTATAGATAGTGGAGTAGGGGACCTCTAGCACAACAGAGAAAGAGAGCGTGAGGAGTAGAAGAGGGTCATGTTGTGTGTCTCCTTGTGTTGTGTTGGGAGTTGGAGGCAGTGTATCTGTCACTCGGCCGCTGGTGCCCATATGAACCCATAGCCCCACAGTGAGTCAGAGGGGTGATTCGGTTGGCAAGAGGTTTCCGGTACAAGACATTCACACAATGATATACTTCCAACTGACGTGGTGTGTGGTGTGTGTGTGTGTAGTGTGTGTGTGGTGTGTGTGTGTGGAGGAAGGATGACTAATGCCTGAATGACACACACCACACTTAGATACTGTCTGTACAGATGCTCATGGCTCAGGATGTGATGTTACCTATCATGACCTTGTGACTGCATGGTGGGGTGTTCAGTTATCATGGGCAGGCAGCCTGAATCAAACCAAACTGATCAGGAGAGGAAGCCACTATACTATTACAGTAAGACACACCCGTAGTGTTGGGAGTCTCAGCATGTCTCCTTCCCCCCTCCAGCAGCCCTAGGCCAGCGGCCCCAGAGAGGACGGAGGAGCGGGCCATGTGCCAAGAGCACGAGAATGAGAAGATCAACATCTACTGTGTGACCCACAGCGTGCCCACCTGCTCCATGTGCAAGGTGTTTGGAGCCCACAAGGACTGTGAGGTGGCGCCGCTCAAAAGCATCTACCAGACACAGAAGGTGAGGACTGACTGATGTAGGAAAACATCTTCTTGAAGAGATGTACAGTACAGTAGGTCAAATGGGAAAGTTGCCTCCTGAGTATATGTCAGTGTATTGCAACTCACTCAGTGACTGATGCGTCTTGGCTTCTCGTTGTGTGTGTGTGTGTGTGTGTGTGTGTGTGTGTGTGCGCGCGTGCCCGTGCGTGTGCGTGCTGTTGCGGCCACAGACAGAGTTGACTGACGGGATAGCAATGATGGTGGGGAACAATGACAGGATCCAGGGCATCATCAGTCAGTTAGAGGAGACCTGCCGGACCATAGAGGTGAGTGGCCCAGTGTGGCAGCACCTGTCTTTCTGTCTCTGTCTGTCTCTTACACAGCCAGCCAACTGAAACCAGGATGTTACTGTAATCAGCCCTCCCACCCCACCCTCCACAGACACATACACACACACACTTAGAAAAATTACTAGGTGTTCTACTGCTTGTTTGTTTCTGTCACTCACACAAATAAACTAGTAAGGTTCCAGAGATACCTTCTCCTCCCTCACACATACCAAGAAACACACAGAAATGATTCTGCCTTCCGACTCGCTCACACTGAGAAACCAGGAGGAGAATTGATGGGGCGAGAGTAGACACCCCTGATGTGCACACGCACAACACACACACACACGCACAACACACACACACATTCACACAACACACACACATTCACACACACACACTGGAGTTGATGAGCTAGCTAGTAGCTGTACTGGGGAGGAAGCTGGAGCGGCTCCAGTCCCCTCTGTGTCACCCTTGGTGGTGTTACCCAGGATTGCCATGCAGAGCTGGGTCGTGTTCACTAGGCACGGAACAGGAGAAAACGCTTGTGTGTGCACGTGTCCATCTGTCCGTCCGTGTGTGTGTGGTTGCCTGTGTACAGGAGAACGGTAGGAGGCAGAAGTCCCAGCTGTGTGAGAAGTTTGACCATCTGTACGCTGTATTGGAAGAGAAGAAGAGGGACTTAAGTTCGAAGTTGGCGGCCAAGCAGGAAGAGAAGCTGAACTACATCCACGGTTTAACCAAGAAGTATAAAGAGCACCTGGAGCTGAGCAGTAAGGCTGTAGAGACAGGCATACAGACCATGGAGGAGCCAGAGATGGCCGTCTTCTTACAGGTGACTGACACAAACACACTCCCTCAACATTCAGGCTTGAATCGTGATTTAAGTTTCACATACTGTAAATAAGGAATTTATAGTAACCCTTCCCATTTCTTTGTCTTACAGACTGCAAAAGACCTACTGAAAAAGTGAGTACATTTGCTGCCTAACACTGATTCTTGATCAAACAAAGTGTGTTTCATGTACCACATTATTTACAGATCTATAGAGACCACACGCAATAAGGGAAGCCTGACTCTCCGTGTGTGTGTGTGTGTGTGTGTGTGTATGTGTGTGTGTGTGTGTCAGGATTGATGAGGCGTCGAGCACTTCTCACCTGGATAAGGTGGAGCGTGGATATGAGGCGATGGATCACTACACCATCAACTTCTCGAGAGAGGGCAGGGCCCTGCGTAACATCGACTTCATCTCCGGTAGGAAGAGTTGGCAGTGAAGCGTCTTATTAGAGCTGGGCGATACGGACAAAAATCCATATCGCGATAAATTACCTGAATTGATGTGATAATGCGATGAACCGATACGTTTCTAACATTAATGTGCGCCACAGTTTTATTGATTTATTATTCTTTAAACTACTACTACTAGTTTAGTGGTTGTAGCCATCAATTGTCCCATTAACAATCACCCATATTAGCAAACATTTCATTTCAAACTTCACATTTCTCTAGTATAGGCTACTTATCATAATGAACGATATCAGCAAAATGCCTGGGATAAGTGATCTGTATGGTCGGTGTGGATAATTTTCGGTTTATCATCCCAGCTCTAGGTCTTCTTGAGTCTCTCTGTGTCTGCCCCTGCACACAGAGGCTCTGTCATTGTCAACATCTCAGGTCCTAGATGGATGGGGGGTGCATCACAATTGTCTTGTGTGGTTTCCTTTCCTTGTTTCCTGTCTGTCGTCTTTATTAATCTGAAAACAGGCTAGGTGAAAGCAATATGAAGCTTTCCATGGGCGCTGTTTTTTTTCTTCTTCATTTATCCCTCTGTCTATAGATGACGAAGATGAGTATGAGGAGGTAGATGGTGGAGAAGCGGAGGGCGGGGCTGGAGTAGAGACACAGGCTGGAGTAGGAGGAGGAACCGCAACACCTGCCCAGCTTCCATCCCTGCCCCCTCAACTGAGCCAACCACAGAGCGCAGCCAAGCTTGCTGCCTCAACCTAACCATCAGCCATTTGCCCAGACCCACCTAAGCCCCACAGATACTTTCTGCAGGAGTAGGATGACGTTGTCTCTACACGCTGATCTAATGTCCATTTTGAGTTTTTCCTCTAATGCAGGGTTCCCCAATTGGCAGGCCGCAGGCCAAAAAGACTGTAAAAAAACACCAGAAAATCAGCTCCAAGTGATTTTAATTTGGGAAATCTGTTCCAAAGTATTCCCACGCATAATATATATATATATATATATATATATATATATATATATATATATATATATATATATATATATATATGATCGTATACAAATGTAAGCAAGGCTTGAAATGATACAAATGTAAGCAAGGCTTGAAACAAAGTATTGAGAAACTTTTGTTATTGACCAAATACTTATTTTCCACCATAATTTGCAAATAAATTCATTAAAAATCCTATAATGTGATTTTCTGGAAAAAAAATTCTCAATTTGTCTGTCATAGTTGACGTGTACCTATGATGAAAATTACAGGCCTCTCTCATCTTTTTAAGTGGGAGAACTTGCACAATTGGTGGCTGACTAAATACTTTTTTTCCCCACTGTAGTTGATGATCTCTGCCCTAATGGTTAAGGTTAGGATTGGGAGAGGGGAAGCTGATCCGTGATCAGTGCCTATGGCCAACTTCTACCTGGAGCATACCTGCACAGGTGATAGACTGAGCCTTCTGGCACAAAACTCTCCTGGGACTTCCTCCCAAGTCTGTGGTTGGATGCAGCTGGATATGGACATGTTTTTGCCCAACATGAGTGCATTTCAGGACTTGGAGTCAGGAAGTTCACTAGGGGAATACTTTTTTGCCTGATTAAATTGATGTCTGAGTCTACCTATTTACAGAAAAAAAGAATGTGCTACCAGTGTTTAGTTTTTTCAAAATGAGATGTGGCTCATTTTAGAGTTCCCTCAGACTGAAATTGCAGCATTTTGCCTAAACAGCAGAGCTGAACTACATCATTAGAGAATATCATAGGCTGAACATCTCAAACAAGATGACTTTGCCTTTTATCTTTTTGTTTTTGATGAAAAAGTATTCCATGAAGGAACGCACGGGTGGTAAGATAAAACAAAATGATATTTGGTAACATTAGGACTTCACAAGGGAGAATAATATATCTAGGTTTTTCAATTACTGTAAGAGACAGCAAGCAGTCTTTTCTCATTTAAAAAAGAAAAAACGTTTTTAAGATGATATTTTGCCTGCATATTGTCACAGTGTACATTACGTTGCATGCATAAAGTGTGTGCATAAAACTTGTTTGGTCAGGTGTCCTTCTTCCTTAGTGCATAAAATCTGAATGCACCACTACTCCCTCCCTGTAGAAACCTTGTCTTCCAGCAGAGTATATAGACCATTATGGGCATGTAGGGCAAAGTCATTTCCGTTGGCCTCCAGCACCATTTCTCCATGAGATATTTCCCTTACGCCTCCCCTCCTTAGCAGTAAACAGGCGTTAGTTCATAAGTCTTACTGCCTTAGTTCAACTAATGATGTCAGGGAGCTTGTTGCATAATCCATATACCTCCTTCCAGCCCAGTGGAGGGAGGGTGCGTGCGTGCGTGCGTGCGTGCGTGTGTGTGTGTGTGTGTGAGTGTGTGTGTGTGTGTGTGTGCGTGCGTGCGTGCATGCATGCGTGCATCTGTGAGGTGGATCTTGAGGTGGTGCTTTAACGTGTCTCACACACTGATCCATGTAGAGATAAATCTGATGCAGATATCAGACCTGAAAGAGGGATAGTCTGGTAAATCAGTTCAGTTTCTCCAAATGTCTTGAGTGGTGTTAGGATTGTTTCACAGCACATGTAGACAACTGATGTACTCTTTTCCTTTTGTATATTTCATGTCATCTCTTCAGTTTTATTAACCTGTTTCAACTGTCCATCTACTAGCCAGTCATAGTGCTCCCCCTCCCCCCAGACCTCCCCTGGTCTCTGAGGAAGTGATTTAACCAGCAGTTATTGAAACCAGATCCAGATCCATAATTTATGCCTCCATTCCAATCACGTTTGCGGCATAGTTCAGTGCAACCTTTACAACTTAGGCTCTGTGCTGTAATAAGCCCCCTGTTACTATGTAGGGCAGACAATGGACCTTGACTCACAGACACATCACTTGTTATATTTTGACCCCACGGCCTGGGTCAAGGATCAGGGCACACATACCACAATGCTCTCATCTCACAGAAGAAAGAGCTCATTTGGTGCCATTGAGCAAGTTCCTGGGTTGTTGTTGTCTTGTCACTAACGAAGCAGTGGCTTGGCCTGTGTAATGTGAGCAGCTACTTCATAGTAGAGTGCTTTGAAGTAGCAAGGTAGATTAAAAAATAATTAACCTTGTCTTGATCAATTTTGGTACACCAATCATGAGTAGGCTAATATGAATGCAATAACAATAAGTCATTTTACTAGAAAGTTTTTTTTTTTTTTTTATCCATCTTTTGTGCGCCTGTTTCAGATTTGAGGCAGAGAGCTGATACTAAATCAGTTCAAAGGACAGGAAAAACTGTTAAAACATTTAGTTAAATCTGTGTGATTTAGAGTAATCTTACTTTTTTAATCTTTCTTTTTGGACTTATTTCTCACTGCATTGCAAATGGTATATCAACTATTGCCCTTGGTTTGAAAAGGACAGGTGCTGCTGTTCGATGCTCATGCAATTAGACATATGCAGGAATCTAAGAAACGCTCTTGCTCTGTCCTCACACTTTCTTCTGTTGTACTGACTACTGTAAATTATACAGAAAATCCTGTTTAGGTTTTTTTGCCGGACACTTCAGATCAGTGAAAGGTTTGTGTGCAGTATTTAAACAAAACCAAATTTAGATTCAAATGTTTTCAAGGCTATAACTATTATGGGCAATAAACTGTCGAATGTAAAAATATCCACAGAAAAGTGCAAACATAACTTTTCAGATTTTATTGAAAAATATAAATATAAGACATTCTCTTGCACAACAAAAATTGACTGGTTGCTCATAAGTTTATTAACAAACTTAAATAACATAACATACAATAAAACTTAATTTCCTAAGCCTATAAGGTCTACCCCAAAAATATTTTCATATGTTAAAGAAAGAGTGACTGAATCGTGTATATGCTACAGTTTTGATTGAGCACTTTAACAACAGTAGCCTAATATAAATTAATAGGACATAGTTTATCTTGCATGATATAGGCTACAATCTGATAATTACACAAGTCATGTACAAGCCCATTTAGTCTACATCGTTGGAAGTTAAAGCTATAAAATAAATCATTATAAACAAAGATGGAAAAGCAGCACTATGGTATAGAATATTATGTGTTTTGTGCTAAACGTAAAAACAAATATTTGGCGGACGGATGGATGTAGTTTTCATTTCCCGAAGATCTCCATCATTTTTCTGTTGCTATGGGCTTGTTGCTGTAACTGTTCAGCTCTGGACATCTCCATCATCTGTCGGAGCATGTGGAACGTGAGATCTAGAGATATCGGCGGGTCGTCGGACCTCCTCCCCCTCTCCATCGAGTCGTCGAGCTGGTTCGCAAAGCCGCTGATGAACCTACTGATGTCCCCAACTTTGCCTTGTAGAAGGCGCTGCGTCAGCTGGAGCTGCAAGGCTCTGTTGTAGACCGCTGGGGAGCCCTCGGGGTTGCGGTTCCCGTTGCCCAGTCGGATGTAGTACTCCTCTCCGAGCCGCGTCAGGAGGGGAAGAAACTGTTGCTGCGCGTCGGGCTGTGGCGCGGTGGCGCGTTCGACATCGCCAGGGCTCTCGACAGCCCTACATTCATAGCGCGGTAAGAAAGCAACGAGCAGAACCACGGTGGTGACAAGTAAATTGAGCTTCATGTCAGGGGATCAACGGGAATCTGAGGAAGGAAGGAGCCAATTAACTTCAAGTTTCCTCTCAATGATGATCATTTCTGCACAATACCTTGATGCGTAATTTGTGCGTAAAATGGAGAGGCATGCGATGAAGTTGCAGGATAATATAAAATAAATGTGTATGAGAATGAGAATACACTGTCTAGAATTTTTAACTCCGGTCATCTAGCATTATCGGACTAGGAATTTACAGCTAGAAAAAAAATTAAAAATATATGTAAATGCAAAGTAATCAAGTTAGTGTCCATAAATCCAGTGGTTGATGAAATGTCCACAAAATCACAAGGAGAGCTAGCAGAGAGAGACTATATGAGTTATGCGTGCATCTTTCAGTATCCATCAAGTTAATATGAAAAACTATGAACAGCTCTTCATGTTGAAGAAAAAATAACATGTAATGTCACCTGCTGACAGACAAATGTAAATAAAAGTTTAAAATGAAGTATGATCTATGAATGGACTTGTTGCCAGCAGAAATGGTCTCATACCTTGAGTTGAGCCGTTGTGTGTCCCTGGAAGATTTTAGGTATTTGTCGAGAGCTGCCTTCCTCTTCCAGAAGTGTTGTATCAAGAAATTGGTATAAGGTGTTCTTCAAAGAAAGGACGGCAGTTTGGATTTATATAGCCAAGACCCGCGACAAGTGTCACGCTCTGAGCTCAGAGATTGCGTCTGCGCATGGGTGTAACTTGAATGAATGCATCTGTGAAAGTCTGGGGTAGTTTGAATGAGATGAGTCATAATGGTTGTGTGTGTGTGTGTGTGTGTGTCTGTGTCTGTGTGTGCGCGCGCGCTCAGAATACAACTTATATTTTCCAACACACAGACATGGATGTGGACATAATTGTTTGTCCATACCCACTAGGCACACACGTCAGTTCAACATCTAGTTTTGATTTACATTTGGTTGAGTTGTCAAACGTGAAATCAACAAAACATTTCACCATGTCATTGGATTTAGGTTAAAAGTTGGGTGAAAAAAAGACGGAATGCCCTTATGTTGATGACTTTTTGCAAATCCAATTAGTTTTCCACGTTGATTCAACGTCATAATCGATTTTTCTTTTGGTTGAAATGATGTGGAAACAACGTTGTTTCAACCTGTTTTTGCCCAGTGGGTAGTTGATCTTTATCTCAGTGGCTGATCTGTTCTACAGCAAAGAGGCCTGTATAATAATGTTATGCACAAGTGGTGTTCAGAAAATGGACAGAATTGTAATTTTGGTTGGGCACTTCTCATAATGAATCTCAGTCAGACAATCAAATGCCAGACTTTGTGCCCTGAATTATAAATTGGAAATAAAATAGTGCTGAATCTTGATTAATATTTATAACAGATAACGTC